AGTTGAGGAAATAGCCAAAATGACAATGAAGGGGGAAGCTATCATTATGAGTGACTGTAATCTTCCTGATGTGAACTGGAAAACCAAAATAACTGCTTGTGCCAGGAGCACACATATTCTAAACTCCCTCCTTGGATTGTCTCTGAAACAAGTCGTTGAGGAGCCAACTCGTAAAGAGGCCATACTAGATTTAGTTTTAACAAATCGAGATTTGGTATCAGATATTACTGTAGGTGAAAGTTTAGGATCCAGTGATCACCAGTCAGTGTGGTTTAATATAAGAACAGTCACACCCCACAAAAACAAAAGTTTTAGACTTTAGAAAAGCAGACTTTTCTAAAATTAGAATATGCGTAAAGGAGTTATTATCAGACTGGAGCAATTTAAATGGAGTCCAAGAAAAATGGGATTATTTAAAAGTTGCACTGCTGTAGGCAACAGAAAATTGCATTAGGCTTGTCAGTAAAAGCAAAAAATTCAAGCAACCACTGTGGTACTCCGCAGATGTGGCCAAAATAGTAAAAAAAAAAGTTAGCATTTAGTAATTATAAAAAAACAGAGAAAGGAAGACAGAATGATCTATAAGATTAGGCAGAAAGAGGCTAAGCAAGTTATAAGAGCTTCCAAATCACACACAGAAGAGAAAATAGCACAGTCAGTAAAAAAAGGAGACAAAACATTTTTTAGATACATAACTGAAAAAAGGAAAGTAAAACAAGGATTAGTTAGATTAAAAACAAAAGAAGGAAATTATGTAGAAGAGGATAAAGGTCTAGCTGACTGCCTCAATGAATATTTGTGTTCAGTATTTACAGATGAAAATGAAGGAAAGAGGCCTCAATTAGGAAAAACATGTAACAAACTAGGAAAGCTACAATTTCTGGGGAAATTGTGTGAAGTGTTCTTGCCTCCACCAGTAGTCTACAACTGGAGTGGGCGACGTAACTGTTATCATTTATATAACACATTTAATTGCAACGTTGTTGCACAGTTACATTAAACCATACATTTATAAAACATTAGCAGGTGTTCAAAAGGCCCTGTCTATGACATCACTTGCTGCTGCAGCCTGACACAGGTCAGAGTATTTTGGCGGTTGCCATCTTCAAACGGTCGTATCTTAAAAACCATAGCTCCTACAGTGAAGAGCTTTATATTGTGAGAATCACAAGACCCAGACCTACATTTTGATGCATAGTATGTCTCTGAAGTATTAAAACTGAAGGCACAGTCGCAGTTTAGAAATTGCACTTCAAATTGGAGCTTTGCAGAGTGAAGTTTCAATGAAAGTCAATGGACGGCGTTAGTTGCAAACAAATTATTATATTGTGAAAACTATCAGGACTATGGCTTAGCCGTTGACATGTTTAGTGGCAGCAGGGATAGCTGAACGTTTTGATATAAGATTTGTGTAGGTGGGCCTGAAAATAAGGGAGTGGTGGCAGTTCGGAAATCATGTCCTGATTTTTCAGCTTTTGCCAGCTCCCACTCTAGCTTTGCCATTCATTCCTATGGGACAAATTTCGCCACAAGAACGACGATATTCCGTGAACCATTCGGCGAAACGTTCCACAAAGTAATAGCAATCCGATCGGGAACAATCTGCGCGTTTTGGTAAATTTTTGTCTATGTAGTGTAAAAACTGTGGGAGGAGTTAGGGTGGCAAATTTTGCTATAATAATAATAATAATAATAATAATAATAATATATATGTGAGATAACATTAAGTGGTCTTGCTATGCAAGAACACTTAACTAGAAAAACTACAATTTCTGGGGAAATTGTGTGAAGTGTTCTTGCCTCCACCAGGAGTCTACAACTGGAGTGGGCAGAGTAACTGTTATCATTTATATAGCACATTCAATTGCAACGTTGTTGCACAGTTACATTAAACCATACATTTCTAAAACATTAGCAGGTGTTCAAAAGGCCCTGTCTATGACATCACTTGCTGCTGCAGCCTTGACAGGTCAGAGTATTTTGGTGGTTGCCATCTTCAAACGGTCGTATTTTAAAAACTATAAATACTACAGCAAAGAGATTTATATTGTGAGAATCACAAGACCCAGACCTACATTTTGATGCATAGTATGTCTCTGAAGTATTAAAAATGAAGGCACAGTCACAGTTTAGAGATTGCACTTCAAATTTGAGCTTTGTAGAGTGAAGTTTCAATGAATGTCAATGGACGGCATTAGTTGCAAACAAATGATTATATTGTGAAAATTATCAGGACTATGGCTTAGCCGTTGACATGTTTAGTGGCAGCAGGGATAGCTGAACGTTTTGATATAAGATTTGTGTAGGTGGGCCTGAAAATAAGGGAGTGGTGGCAGTTTAGAAATGATGTCCTGATTTTTCAGCTTTTGCCAGCTCCCACTCTAGCTTTGCCATTCATTCCTATGGGACAAATTTCGCCACAAGAACGACGATATTCCGTGAACCATTCGGCGAAACGTTCCACAAAGTAATAGCAATCCGATCGGGAACAATCTGCACGTTTTGGTAAATTTTTGTCTATGTAGTGTAAAAACTGTGGAGGAGTTAGGGTGGCAAATTTTGCTATAATAATACACAATAATATATATGTGAGATAACAATAAGTGGTCTTAAGGCAAGAACACTTAATAATAACTAGAAAGCTACAATTTCTGGGAAATTGTGTGAAGTGTTTTGCCTCCACCAGTAGTCTACAACTGAGTGTGGGCGAGTAACTGTTAATACTTATATACATTTAATTGCAACGTTGTTGCACAGTTACATTAAACCATACATTTATAAAAACTTTAGCAGGTGTTCAAAAGGCCCTGTCTATGACATCACTTGCTTCAGCAGCCTGGCCCAGGTCAGAGTATTTTGGCGGTTGCCATCTTCAAACGGTCGTATTTTTAAAATTATAAATCCTACAGCGAAGAGCTTTATATTGTGAGAATCACAAGACCCAGACCTACATTTTGATGCATAGTATGTCTCTGAAGTATTAAAACTGAAGGCACAGTCGCAGTTTGGAAATTGCACTTCAAATTTGAGCTTTGCAGAGTGAAGTTTCAATGAATGTCAATGGACGGCGTTGGTTGCAAACAAATGGTCATATTGTGAAAACTATCAGGACTACGGCTTAGCCGTTGACATGTTGAGTGGCAGCAGGGATAGCTGAACGTTTTGATATAAGATTTGTGTAGGTGGGCCTGAAAATAAGGGAGTGGTGGCAGTTTAGAAATCATGTCCTGATTTTTCAGCTTTTGCCAGCTCCCACTCTAGCTTTGCCATTCATTCCTATGGGACAAATTTAGCCACAAGAACGACGATATTCCGTGAACCATTCGGCGAAACGTTCCACAAAGTAATAGCAATCCGATCGGGAACAATCTGCACGTTTTGGTAAATTTTGGTCTATGTAGTGTAAAAACTGTGGGAGGAGTTAGGGTGGCAAATTTTGCTAATAATAATAATAATAATAATAACAACTAGAAAAGTTACAATTTCTGGGGAAATTGTGTGAAGTGTTCTTGCCTCCACCTGTAGTCTACAACTGGAGTGGGCGGAGTAACTTATCATTTACATAGCACATTTAATTGCAACGCGAGCTGCACAGTTACATTAAACCATACATTTATAAACATTAGCAGGTGTCTTGCAAAGGCCCCTGCTATCTATGACATCACTTGTTGCTGCAGCTTGACAGGTCAGAGTATTTTGGTGGTTGCCATCTTCAAACGGTCGTATCTTAAAAACTATAACTCCTACAGTGAAGAGCTTTATATTGTGAGAATCACAAGACCCAGACCTACGTTTTGATGCATAGTATGTCTCTGAAGTATTAAAAATGAAGGCACAGTCGCAGTTTAGAAATTGCACTTCAAATTTGAGCTTTGTAGAGTGAAGTTTCAATGAGATAACAATAAGTGTTCTTGCAAGAACACTTAATAATAATAACTAGAAAAGTTACAATTTCTGGGGAAATTGTGTGAAGTGTTCTTGCCTCCACCTGTAGTCTACAACTGGAGTGGGCGGAGTAACTGTTATCATTTACATAGCATATTTAATAGCTATCCCTCCTGCCACTAAACATGTCAACGGCTAAGCCATAGTCCTGATAGTTTTCACAATATAATCATTTGTTTGCTACTAACGCCGTCCATTGACATTCATTGAAACTTCACTCTACAAAGCTCAAATTTGAAGTGCAATTTCTAAACTGCGACTGTGCCTTCATTTTTAATACTTAAGAGACATACTATGCATCAAAACGTAGGTCTGGGTCTTGTGATTCTCACAATATAAAGCTCTTCGCTGTAGGATTTATAGTTTTTAAAATACGACTGTTTGAAGATGGCAACCGCCAAAATACTCTGACCTGTGTCAGGCTGCAGCAGCAAGTGATGTCATAGACAGGGCCTTTTGAACACCTGCTAATGTTTTATAAATGTATGGTTTAATGTAACTGTGCAACAACGTTGCAATTAAATGTGCTATATAAATGATAACAGTTACTCCGCCCACTCCAGTTGTAGACTACTGGTGGAGGCAAGAACACGTCACACAATTTCCCCAGAAATTGTAGCTTTTCTAGTTTTTATCTGCTCTCTTTCCCCTTTTCTTTATTTTTATCTGCTCTCCTTCCCCTTTTCTTTATTTTTATCTGCCCTCCTCCTCCTTTATTTTTATCTGCTCTCTTTCCCCTTTATTTCTATCTGCTCTCCTTCCCCTTTATTTCTATCTGCTCTCCTTCCCCTTTATTTTTATCTGCCCTCCTTCCCCTTTTCTCTATTTTATCTGCTCTCCTTCTTTTCTTTATTTTTTATCTGCTCTCTTTCCCCTTTATTTTTATCTGCTCTCTTTTCCCTTTATTTTTATCTGCTCTCCTTCTTTTCTTTATTTGTATCTGCTCTCCTTCCCCAATCCCCTTTACTTTATTTTCATGTGCTGTCCTTACCTTTTTCTCTCTTCTCCTCTGCTCCCTTTCCTTCACCAGCAGCTATTCTTTCTTTTTCATCTCTTCTTCTTCTTGGTACCGCAGGCGGGGGAATGCAGGGGGAGGGGTTACGTCGTCGCGTTGTGACATCATCGCTAATCGGCATTGCGGATTGGCCGATTAGCAGGTTAGTGGCAGGAGGAGGGGAGGGGACTCACTCCACCACGGAACCCATGTGAGAGGGTTCCATCTTGTTAGCACCAGCACCGCGCGATGCGGCGGCCGCCGGCCGGGCATGAAAGAATTTTAATAATCATTTATTTTTTTTACTGCAGCGGTTCTCTAATTACACGGTTTAGGCGGCGGCGAGGCCTTAGGCGGCCGCCTAAACTGCCTAATTAGAGAACCGCCTCTGCTGCCAAATATAAAAATACCTGTTTAGTGGATATACCCCAAATGAAAACATGCTTAAATTTAATTAGGGGTATATCTACTGATACTTTACGTTTTTGTCATTTAACAGCCAATCTCTGCTAAATATTGGTAAAATTGTTTTATTTTTCTGATTTGTAACACACACACATACAAGGTTGTTTTAAACCCCTAAAGGACTGAGCTAAATGTACACGTTGTGAACGAAACAAAATGTAAACAAAACCTGGCATTTGCGCTACATGTCTGTCCAACCGTAATTCACCTCTTTCATAGTAAATACACCCACCCTTATTATATATAATTTTATTCAGGGGAAACAGGGCTTTCATTTAATATCAAATATTTAGCTATGAAATATAATTTAATATGAAAAAATGGGAGAAAATAAGATTTTTTTTGATTTTTTTAGTTCTACATGACATTTTAACTGTCAATGTCATAATACGGTTTGCTTTTACTGCAATAAAATACACATATTTGTATTCAGCAAAGTCTCACGTGTAAAACAGTACCCCCTATGTACAGGTTTTATGGCGTTTTGGGAAGTTACAGGGTCAAATATAGCACCTTACATTTGAAATTGAAATTCGCCAGATTGGTTACGTTGCCTTTGGGACTTTATAGTAGCCCAGGAATTAAATTTACACCCATAATGGCATACCATTTGCAATAGTAGACAACCCACTGTATTGCAAATGGGGTATGTCCAGTCTTTGTCAGTAGCCATTTGGTCACAAACACTGGCCAAAGTTAGCGTTAGTATTTGTTTGTGTGTGAAAAATGCCAAAAATGCCAATTTTGGCCAGTGTTTGTGACTAAGTGGCTACTAAAAAAGACTGGACATACCCCGTTTGCAATACCTTGGGTTGTCTACTATTACAAATGGTATGCCATCCTAGGGGTAATTTTCATTCTTGGGCTACCATAGGGTCTCAAAGGCAACGTAACCAATCTGGCGAATTTTAATGTGAAAAAAATTAAACACAAGCCTTATATTTGACGCTGTAACTTTTGAAAACACCATAAAACCTGTACATGAGGGGTACTGTTGTACTCGGGAGACTTCGCTGAACACAAATATTTGTGTTTGAAAACAGTAAAAAGTATTGCAGCAATAATATCCGTGTAAGTGCTGTTTGAAAAAATGCAAAAAACGTCACTTTTACTGGCGATATCATCGTTGTAATACATTTTACTGTTTTGAAACACTAATATTTGTGCTCAGCGAAGTCTCCCGAGTAGAACAGTATCCCCCATGTACAGGTTTTATGGTGTCTTGGAAAGTTATAGGGTTAAATATAGTGCAAGCAAATTAAATTCCCTTTACTTTCGGCATGGGTTGTCAGGCAGGTCCCGCTAATTGTAATTAATTAAGATACCTAATTATGTAAAAATATTACATAAATATATATGTAGAATTAATATATAGTGATATATACGTATATATTTCTGTATATAGATATATATATTTCGTTCTATGTGTATTTTGAGATATATATTAATATCACAATACAGTTAGAAAGAAATAACACACATCTATATATTTTTTAATTATGTATGACACCTGCAGTTACAGACAAACACTGAAGTCCTGAGAGTGCC